AAAAATTATATAATAATTGCAACTAATTACTATATCTCGATTATAAATCTTCAGTTTAGCTTTGGGACTCGTTCCAAACACTGACTCAATTTGGGTACCTTCTAAACGGGGGTGGTGGTCTCTTTCTCATATCGTAGCACCGTATTGATAAACAAAACAAACATGTGATTGCATTCTACTGAGTCGTCCAAATTAGGTAGATGTAAACAATCCTGATCTTTTTGAGGAGTAAGCCAAATTCCCACTTTTTATCGAAAATCTTGGAAGAAAGGTGTGAAAGCGGAGACAGGTATGATAGGAGTTACTTGGCTTCAAATTTTCAAGAGAGTGTGTAAAAAAAACTCATTCATTGTTCCCCTTCTATTATGTTGCCTATGCTTGACTTCGTCAACGATATAGCCTCACTTCTATCAAAGCACTAATATCTCCAAAATTTTATATACAAGGGCACCACCTCTGCCAGTTATCTTGTATATTAACGCTTTTGGTTTGCATGCTGAATATGTATAGGAGTCCCCATATAGAAGGTTGTTCTTTACAAGAACCACCGCATAGTGCCTTCACCTTCTCCAACAAAAATTTTGTTTTTGTTCGGTGGAAAAATTTGGTATAAGTGATCATCAGAAAGAAGATTATATTATAGTGCCTTTATATATTATTAATATCTTTATCTTGACTAATATAAAAGCATTTATATTATTTTTATATTCAATATTAAAACCTAGTCTATAAATATTTATATTATTATATTATTTAAACTTTATTATCATTATCTATAACTTTAATACATAGTTGATTATAACAAAGCTAAAAAGAAAGATATATATAAAATCAATTAATTACAAATAATAATATAATAAAAAAGTAGTTAGTTAGTTAAAAAATAAAAGATTTAAAAATATTATATTTAAGCTAAAAATAAACTATTTAATAAAATTTTAAGATCTTTTTTTTTTTTGTTTTTTTCTAAGGATTTAAGGTTAGTTGTTAAAAAAGTATAATAAATAAATTTTACTAACTTATACTATACTAAATTGCAAACCATAAAATAAATATTGGTTTTATATAAAAGTTGTATTTTTTTGTGATAAAACTAGAGTATTATTGCAATAAAATAATTTCAATAAGCACAAAATCACTCAAATCTAATCACTAAATCCCAAGATCATTAAAGTTTTTTATACTATTTCAGGTAGATTAAATTAATTTTAATATCTAAAATAGTACCCTTTATGTTCTTTAGATCCAATAATTAGATTTGAATAATTTTAAACTTATTGGAATTGTCATATTAAAATAGTTATTCTAATAGTAAAATTATCTAAACCAGTTTGCTGGATAAAAATTATTAATTGATTAAATATTTATTATTATGGGAATAGAGATATAACTAAAAATTATATAAATTGAAATATAAATCAAGTAAAATTAATATAGGAAATTTATTTTGCTAAAAAACGAAGATATAACTCAGTTTGGGATATAACCCAATAGAGATATAACTTAGGTATAACTGTATTAAGAAACAGACCTGGTGGATCGATTTTTAATCGATTATAATAGGATATTGGTTTTGGCAAGTGGGCCAGCAGCAGTAAGGTTATCAATAATTATTTATTATTAAGAAGTATTAAACTTAAAACAACTTATTTTTTGTATTAAATTCATCTGAGTAGTTTATATTTTACAATAATGTATATATTAATTAAATAAAAAATTGGGCTTTTTATTTTTTTAATAATAAAATAAACTACTGTGATATTTACATTTGAATAAAATTAAAAATTTTATAATTTAATAGAAACTAGTAATTAAAATGAGATTTCGTAATAAAAAAAAATATGATAATTTAGTAGAGTAAATTAAGCTGTATTAAAAATATAAAAACTTATAAGCTGCCATCAATAAGATCAAGCTCATATCTTGATAAAATTTAAACTGTGAAATATTGTTTTTTTTTAAAAAAAAAACCAATTTGCCTAATTTCTATTGTATATATTATAAATAGGGTCCTGATTTTTCCACACCCATTTGTAAAGCATGTTTTTTTTTAACTTTGACCGAAAGTAACTCGACACCCACCTAACCAAATTCGATGAAAGTTTTTTATTTGAATTCTCCGGAACCGTAGAATTCAAATGAAAAAAATTCCATCGAATTTGGTTGTGTGGGTGTCGAGATACCTTCGATTAAAGTCAAGAAAATTTTGCCGCAGCTAATAATTTGATAGACGTTTAAAACTTTTTCTTGAATTTTGATTGAATTTGGTCGGGTGGTTGTTGAGATATCTTCGATCAAAGTCAAAAAAAAATCGACATTTAATTGACGTCTATTAATTTTTTAAAACTTTGATCGAAGATATCTCGACAACCACCCGACCAAATTTGATGAAAATTTTTTACTTGAATTTTCTGGAACAGTAGAATCCAAATAACAAAAAAAAAAAAAAAAATCGTCAAATTTGGTTTGGTGGGTGTCGAGATACCTTCAATAAAATTTAAGAAAAATTTTTAATCGTCTATCAAAAGATTAGCTGCGGCAAAGTTTTCTTGACTTTGATCGAAGGTATCTCGACACCCACACAATCAAATTCGATGAAATTTTTTTTTATTTGAATTCTACAGTTCCTGAGAATTCAAGTAAAAAATTTTGTCGAATTTGATTGTGTGGGTGTCGAGTTACTTTCGATCAAAGTTAAAAAAAAACATATGTTTTACATATGGGTGTGGAAAAAATCAGGACCTATAAATATTATTTAAAATTGTGATTAATAATAGAAGTTAAAGCTGATTTCAAAAAATATAGTTGATGCTTGGTAAATTTAGATTGCATTAAATTAGTTTAAGTTTTTTTACTTTTATAACAAACCATACAAATTGCGATCAAAAGTTGTAAAACCGGTTTAATGAAAATCTAACCGGTTCTAACTTCTTTTGCATTGTAGAACCAATCAAAATTAAGAAAAATTGTCTACGCATACAATTAATACGCCAAAAATCTGTCAGAAAAATGAGTAGTGCAGGATCGCTCATTTTTCTACAAAAAAACTTCAAAAGTGTCATTCTTTTTATTTCATTCAAATAATAAAATACTTGGAAGTGAATAATGTCTAATATTGGAACACAAGAGGCAACAAAAAAAACAGTACGAATAGTTATTATAGCATTATTGCTAGATCTCTTGGCCTTTACAATTATTCTGCCGCTATTTCCTAGGCTATTACAAGATTATCGAGAAAGAGAAGGAGATGAAGTATTAATTTATTATTATTAATATTTTTTCTTAAAAAGAAAATTTTAAAAATATAATCTGATTTTGTCAAAATTTTATTTAGACGACTTTGTTAAGTTGGTCTCTTCATCAAATACAAAATTTCAAACAATTAATCGGCGGTGAGAGTAAAAATCCGAAATGGGATTTAGTACTTCTCGGTGGTGCTCTGGGTTCTTTATATTCATTTTTACAGTTTGTGGCATCTCCATTTATTGGCACTCTTTCTGATAGATATGGAAGGCGAAATACTTTATTAGTGACTATGGTTTGGAAAAAATTAGTTGCTTTTATGATGTAAATTTACATTCCGATCCAAAAGTTTTCAAGCTCCCAAGTTCATCTGAGCTGAAAATAGTGTTAAGCTCATTCATGGTTTTATAGAATTTTTGGTTTCCATAAAATTTTGCAGACTTTATACAATATACTAATTTTTTTATAAATATCTTAGTTCCGATGAATTTAGGGTACTTTGAAACTTTTGGGTGGAAATTTTATATTATTAGATTTGTGCCTTGCTAACTCTTGATATTTACTAAAGATCGGAAATATTCTTTCAACCCTTATATGGCTTTTTTCTAAATCATTTGGGTTGTTTGTATTATCTCGAATTATCGCTGGATTAAGCGAAGGCAATGTTCAATTATCAATTGCAATAATCTCTGACGTTACTTCAAAAGAAACAAGATCTAAAGGATTGGTCTGTAAAATAAATATCTATTATATTCATATATTTTTTGAAAACATATTTATAACTTAGAAACATTCTTTTTCATAGGCATTAGTAGGAATAGCATTTTCTATCTCATTCACAATTGGACCCGCTATAGGCGCATTTTTTTCTTCCAAAGATTTATCACAAATATTCCCTCAACTTGTTAAATGGGGGTTAAATCCTTATTCTATGTCTGCATTAGTCGCACTAACTTTATTGTGTATAGAAACATTATATTTATATTTATTTTTACCTGAGACTGTAAACCATTATCACAGGTCTCAAAATTTACAGCCTATTGATTCTAAACATCACAAATCAAATTCAACAATTTCATATCAACAAACAAATACAGTATCACAACGTCTTGCAAATTTAACAAATTTAAATTGGATTCACTTTCTATTTTTATTTTTCTTTTCTGGGATGGAATTTACACTCACTTTTCTGACTTTTGATCTATTTAATTTCACTAATATGCAAAATGGAGCATTACTTGGATATATTGGAATATTATCATCAATCCTTCAAGGTGGATATGTTCGACGTATGGCGCACGTAGTTGGTGAAAAGCGACTTGTTGTTCAAGGTGTATTATGTTGTGCAATCTCTTTAGCTATAATTGCTGCTTTAACAAAGACTACAAATGGATTCATGTGGCTTTATGTCGGTGCCACTTTTTTAGCAATCACATCAGCAACGGTTGTAACTTGCTTAAATTCCATAGCATCAATGCAATGTGATGACTACGATGGTGATGAACAAAACAAGGAAAGCGTTTCAGCCAAAAATAATGAACAATCATTAATAAATAATTCTGATAATTCTGAAAAGTTAACTCGTATAGCTAAGGGACAAGCATTAGGAATGTACCGGTCATTTGGTCAATTAGGTCGTGCTGCAGGTCCAATAATGGCATGTGGATTATATTGGATGGCAGGATCTGAAAAATGTTATGGGTTGGGTGCTTTTTCAATGTTGATAATATTTGGTATCGTGATCGCTAAAGTTCCATATATCCCTACCAAGAGACAAAAATCAGAATAAACCTAAGCATAATCGATCTGAGGAATTTCGTTTCTACATTACAATAATTGTGCTTGCCAGTTAATTATCTCATGTCATTAGAAAAAACGTTATAATCTCGGTGTAACGGGGTTCTTGTTTGTTCATCATATCAAGGATTTCGTTAATCGAGATTATATTGAGATTTTATCATGTAAGACTTCATTATACTAAACACGTCACGTTCTATAATAAAATATTTTTTTTTAGAAATAATTATATCAAATTTTATATATTTTTTTAAATTGGATCAAGTCTTTCTTTTAACAAAACAGCTATCCAGATTATTTGTTAAAATTATCATAAACTACAGTATTTAAAAATATAAATGTGAATCTCTATTTTTATAATAAAAAGCAATATCTGATATGATCATACAGTATAACGATGGCTATCAACCTAGTATCATCCTACAGTAGGTCTTCCATCTCCAAGTTTCTATTGTCCGCGCTTGTTTACATGCAACATTCTCTCATTTTAGTTACATCTTAGTAAGGGTTAGAGATATTACGCAAGAAATTTTTTACTAGGCAAAATTTCGAGACTAATGCAATTTTCCAACAAGATGATTGTTTTTTTTTTTAATTTTCACGTCATACATAATCTTATAGTGCCCCTAATTAAAAATACTTGTGAACTTTACTAATAGACACTAAGTTATTTCGACCCTAACCCTACCCTAACCATAACGCGGTTTTATTGGCTTTAATTTACGCGCAGCTTTTTTAGAAAACAAACCGGGTCCGCTTTGGCCTAGGGTTGTGGGCACGGGTAATAAAATAGGCATGCCCTATTGCCCCTATATAGTCACATGATGAATAACTGACCAATCAAATTATACACAAAAACCTATAATTAATCAAAATTTTAT